AGATCATAAAAAAAGCTTACCGATAGCATATAATCAGACAACAATTGACTATGGATTTAAACAATCGATTTCTGTAGATAAATTAAAAGTTATTCGAAATATGCAATATGTTTATTTTCTTGCTAAACATCATTATGCAACTCATGGTTTACAAGATTTAAAAAAATTATATGATCGACAATTTGATGAAGAAAGTAATGAAGCATTATTTGGACCATTTATTGGTTTGAAAAAAGTGCAATCTTTTGGTGATTCTCCAATTACAGTATCTTCAGAGTATGGTACATATGATAATGATGTTTCTGCACGTGAATTTATAGAAGCAATTTCATTTGTTATTGAAGAAAGCTTAATTAAAAAAATACAAAGTTCATCATATTGGAGTATCCAAATTGATGATAGCAATACAATTAAACAGGAAAAAATATTGGCTATTGTTTCTAGACATTTATCTAATAATTATCCAATTGCACGTTTTTTGGGTATTATTCAATTAGAAGATGCAGCTGCACGACCAATTGTTGATAGTATTAATCGATTTTTATTAGCAAAAAGACTTGATATAAGTAATATATTTCATATTGGAAACGATGGTGCTAGTACAATACTAGGTAATTATAATTATATAATTTATATAAAGTTAAAATCTATATAGTATAAATTATTTAAAGATAATTTGTACTATAGTGCTTATTTAATTGAGTTATAAAACTAATAATTTATTTCATTAATAGGGAAAAATAATGGAGTTGCTTATATTTTTAAAAAACAAAATCCATTTCTTTTAGAACACCATTGTATTGCTCATCGATTGGCTTTAGCAGCAAAGGATGCTGCTAAAAAAGTTTCTTATTTTAAAAATTATAACTCTATTGTTAATAATTTATATTCTTATTTTAGTTCTTATAAGCGAATGATTAATCTTCAATTAATAGAAAAAAAATTAGAAGATCCAAATTTAGTTCTTCAAATTATTAATACTCGATGGCTTTCATTAAGTAATGTAGTATCTAATTTGCATCGAATTTTAGATTCTGTAAAATTAGCATTAGAAGATTTTTTAGAAAATGTTGTAGCTCAAGGGCTTTATAATATAATGGACCAAAATTTTTACTTGGCAACAAAGCTAAAATGCATATACTTTTTATTAGTTCTAATTAATTCATTAACAATTATCATAGTTTTAGAATAGTTGAAAATATGTAAAAATTTTTTCGAATATATCTATATATTTGTATACCAAATTACTTTAGTACAGTTTGATACTTAATTTACTTATTATATTAAACAATAAGTATATAATCGATATGCTAAAGTAATTTGATATACGTACAAGTATATAAAAATTTTTTACATATTTTGAAAACTACAGAAATCGATTGTTTAAATCCATAGTCAATTGTTGTCTGATTATATGCTATCGGTAAGCTTTTTTTATGATCT